TGCACTATAACAAAGAGTGAAAAATTTAAGGGGGTCTGAATACTTTACGTACCCACTGTATATATATATATATGTGTGTGTGTGTGTGTGTGTGTAAGCATGTTGGAAGACACTGACAACTAATGGCTATTCTTGGCTACAGCCCTACTATTAAATCCACAATTAGAGTGATTCATTGGGGAGCTTTGTGAATGGGGCTTTTGCCATTAGAAATCTAATCAAGCTAAAGTATCCACCTTTTAAAAGTACTACATTTCCAAATAATTGCTGAAATAAATGTGTGACGAGAGGGGCGGGGCCGAGAGCCGTGGGAATGGACCGAGCGACACCTGCGCCACTCACCGGTCTCGAGTCTCACGGAGGAGCTCCGGAAGGATACAAAGGAGGAGTGACGACAGGGAAAGACGAGAGAGGACCAGGCCTGGATTTTATTTTGTGTTTTGGTTTCGTTTGTGCGCGGCAGTTGTCCGCGAGGGGCTGTCGTGCTATTTTGTGTTTATTTTATTATTAAAGTTGTGTTTGAGTGTTCGCCGGTTCCCGCCTCCTTCTTCCCGATCTACAAACTTTGTTACAAAATGGAACGGAGTAAATGTAGCTTGTTACTACCCATCTCTGATCCTACAAAACTGCAAATATAATTTTACTGCAATTCAATTGACTTTCTTTGCCTTCCAGATTACTGTTTTCCCATTGACATAGACTAAGTGAAGAGTGACCATGAATTTCTGGATCAAGATCTAGTTATGGTTAATTATTCATATTTCCCCATGAGCTGATTCGCTACAATGCCTTAGATTCTCTCTGCAGGTAGTGCTTTTTACACCTCGGCTGCTTGAGTGCATGCTATGCTATGCTGACGTAGAATGATCACTTCTTGCTAATTGCAGTGGGAAGAATTTGAGAGGGACATCATGTTGTTTTCCTATTTGATGTTTTATTTTGCTTTCAGGAGATTAAGTACCTTAAACAAGTGTGTGGCGATAAAGCTGGAGTTCAGCCGATCCAGAAGAAGGGTGAGTGAGAGAAAACTCTGGAGAAGATACATGTAAACACTGTGTATAAATAAAAGAAGCCTTAAGAAACAGTTCCTTCTTTCTGTTCTTTGCTGTGTATAACAAATAATTTTGTACATGTAGGGAGATGAAGAGGAGGATGAAGACCTCTTTGCCATCAGCCCAAAATGGTCATTCGACAGGAAGAGCAAACGCTGGATCCGTGTGGATGACGATGATCTACTGCACTCACTGAACTGCTCCATTTCAAGACTGAGGAGATCCGGAAGCTGTGAGAGCTCTTTTACCAATAGCAGGGAGCGACGTGAGCTTTGTTCCACTCATAGATTTAGTAATGCTGACAGTGAAAGGGGAAGTGCTTCCAACAAAATTGCAGAGGAACCCGAAACAAGTCGTAGCTCCTCCAGATGCCCCTCGAACTATAAGCCCCAATCTCCCGACAATTCATCCAGCAGACCTCCATCTCTCAGTGAACATCACATTTTGAGCAGTGAAGAATGCCTCCCTGAAAGGCCTCCAGTAGAAAAAGACAAAAGCCTTCTCCGGAAGATGGAGAAACTCAGATTAAGAGGAAGCACACTACAGCCACACACTCAAAGTGGGAAAGCCAGACCTGTCATAAGTGGACCAATTATCCAGGAAGGTCTTGGTGAGGAAAAGCTGAAGCATCTTCAATGTCTAGACTTAGTGAGGCTCCAGGACAAGACTGTAAATCCTGTATCCTGTTCATCACCCTCTCAATCAAGTAGCAGTTCCTTAGAAAGCAGCAGTGCGGTCAGCACGCCAAGCCCTGTGACCAAGGTGCGCAGCAACTCCAAACGCCATGGACTGTCCAAACAAGAAGACAATCAGAAGCAAATCAATGAGCAGCATTTCAACAACCAGCACAACCTTGATGTCAACAACGTCTTTGAAATTCCCCATGGACACAAGCCAGGGAAGTTCCCAACAGTGCTCTTACACAACAGCACCTTCTCACCTATCAACAACACTTCGGTCAGTTGGAAGACTGGGAGTTTCCATACTTGTGATCACCGTGTCAGCATTTATGACAATGTCCCAGATCATATGAAGATTTTAGATGATGTCTTCTCAGATTTGGACTGTGTAATGGAACGCATTTGTGGCCTGCAACAGTTGGTAAACTCTTGGACAGACAAGTTGTCAGAGGACGGGGATTAAAATTTTTCCCACTCGGGTGCTCCCTCACCCTCCTTTCTGACTGACATTCACCTTGAGATCAAAGAGCCAGAAGAGACCAATTACGCTGCCCTAGAGGAGGCATACAACAAGAGCTCAGATGCATTTGCATAAAATGCTCAGCCTACAGATCATACTGATCGGTAAGAAACACAAACTACTATTTTATTGAGGCAGCTGGGACAAGAAAAAGTGTCTGATCTAATTAATGATACATTCTAGGGATCTAGAATATATATTTCCCTCATTCAATCAAGAGAAAATGCTTGCAAGACCTTTATCATGCACTGACAAAGTGTATCTATACAAAAGTTGGTTGATTTCATACATTTCAGAATACAGAGGCCCCTCTGGTCCAGTGCACAAATGCTTTCAATGAGTAACCCCAGCACAGACATAGAGGCCAAATCAGCACCACATGTCTCCATACTGCAAAGACTGAGCCTTCTCAGGCTCACAGCTCTGATGGACAAGTACTCACCCTTCAGCAAAAAAGGCTGAAACTGGTAAGGCAGGTTACGAAGAAAAGCAGAGAGGGAAAGAGCGATAGATATAATCTGGTAAAAGCAGCTTGATTAAAAACACTGAGACAATGAAAGAGGAAAAAAGGAGAGAGTGAGATTCCTGCAGTTTAGAGATTAATTCATTATTTATCCTGAGTTGCAATATTGGAAAATCTCTCAACGGACAAAATAGACATCCTATTGCCCTAAGGTTTTAAAAGTATTGAGTTCAAAGCGGGTGAGTGAAAACAAGAGCGAACCCTCTCACACCACAGGCTGCATGACACAGCAAAGTCTTGCTCAGGAAACCTGCTTGTTCTGTTCGGTGAAGCTAGTGGGACACAAATTACAGTCTTGGCTTACCGTGGTTTGTATTGAATATTCATGTGCACAAGTACATAATTGTTTAAACAACTTGATAAGTGCAATACAATAAAAATAGTATCTATTAGTGATTGACGACACTTCCTGCAAGACACCTCACCTGAAGCGATTTCAGCACCTGTAACTCTTTGATCAGAACATTAATAGGAAATATTGGTTTCACTTTATTTTGATGGTCCCTTTAACACATTCTTTTGACTATAAGTAACGTTGCACCTACATGTCTACTAACTCTCATTAGAGTATTAGGAGACTGGTAGGGTTAGGATTAGAATATGTTAACATGTACTTGCAAAGTTACTTATAGTCAGAAGAATGTCTTTTGGGAGACCATGACAATAGTCATGATGAGAGTTAGTAGACATGTAGGTGTAACATTACTTATTGTCAACAGAATGTTCAAAAGGGACTATTAAAACGAAGTGCTACCGAAATATTTGCCTTTTGCTAGCTATTTTTATGTCCTAAATATATTAACCTGTTAACCTGCACCCCCCATTTTGGAACTCACAGCTAAAAATGACCTACCTAACTTTTGAGAGTTAGTAGACATGTAGGTGTAACATTACTTATTGTCAACAGAATGTTCAAAAGGGACTATTAAAACGAAGTGCTACCGAAATATTTGCCTTTTGCTAGCTATTTTTTATGTCCTAAATATATTAACCTGTTAACCTGCACCCCCCATTTTGGAACTCACAGCTAAAAATGACCTACCTAACTTAAAAATTTAACAGTTCCTGACTTCTGTGTGCTACACACACAATTTTGGTGTCTTTGGAAAGAAGATCCTTTGGGCTTTACTATTTACTATCATACTATCATACCATCTATACTATCCAGAGATGATAATGCTCAAAAAGATAAAAAGTTATAGACACTGAAGTACCTTGAAAAAAAATTGTACCACACTGAATGTTTTTTATTTCATATAAAAAAATACATGAAATCAGTCCTGGAGCAATCCAGAAAAGTAATGGGTTGAAAATCACATGTCTCATGAGTTTCTATGTCAAATCTGAAGATACGATGAAAAATTAGATTCCTGCAACCATTTTTCTGAGACTATGTCTAAGTAATGATTATGACTATGACTAAGTAATCACACTCTAATGGCCATTCATATAGACCGCATTCACACTGATAGCTGTCATACAGACAGTAATCACACGCTAATGTGTGGTCATACAGATGGTAATCATGCAGATACAGCCACATTAACCACAAAACACACACACATATATACAGTATATTAAAAAATGTTGAAGAAAAAAAAAATTTATTTGTGCAAAAAGCCGATCGCTAAGTTACGCCCCTTTCAGATGACAGGTGAGTCATAGCGTGCGCCATGAGCCGTCACGAGAGAGCGCCAGAATTCAAATAAACAATATTCGGAGTATCTTTGACTTTTTTTATTAGTGGATGGTCTCATTCTGTTTGTGACCCTGTATGCTACAAAACCATGTTGCTTTTTACGTCCAAGATGCAGTTTTTTGAGCATAAGTTATTCCATAACGGATACAAACAATAACTGTCCCCGAAGAAATGAGACATAAACAAAGGAATTATCATCGATAATACAACGCGTTATTGCTTCGTTGGACTAAACGTGCTCTATGGGATGTTGTTCAGTGGACCCTTACCTCTCTAACTAAACTGGAATTTGCAACTGTGGATGCGTTTATGACTCGTTATTATGATGAATCTGGTACATACTGCATTTTGATTATGCATGTTTTGATATGTACTGCTTACACAAATTTAGCAAATGCATTTTTTTATAAGCTTTCCATTGAAAAACAGTGATCTATCGTCGATGCTGGAGGCTCCCCATAGAGCAATTAGTAATATGTTTGATATTATGCATTTGTATAGTTAACTGGATACAAAACATACTCGGATACTAACATAACCTCGGTTCCCTGAGATACGGGAACAAGTACTGCATCGTTAGACGCCATGGGGAAAACTCCTTTTTCTCTGATTACTGAAGCCTTTTTTACTAATGCAGTGTAACTGCATGGCCATTGTTTTCTGCAGTGAATAAAAAACTAACCAATGGCTCAGCAGCGGAGCTGCACGAGCCTATGGCCATAAAGCCCGCCAGAATGGGCGGGGTCATCTGACTATATAAGCGGGCATTCTGGCATAGGTTCCTCAGGTTACTTCGACTGAAGTGAAGACACTGGGTCGTGCAGCTACATAGTATGGCTAGTAACACAGTACTCGTTCCCATATCTCAGGGAACCGAAGTTATTTTAGTAACCGAGTACATTCCCAATCGATACTTCACTCGTACTGCATTGCTAGATGCTATGGGGAACCAGTACAATCCTGCCTTGCTATGATAGGGGAACGACCAATACTTGAACTTGCCTTAAGCACCAAAGGGGGCCAGAGGGACCAAGTATGTAGCAGGGTAAGCCCCACAAGAGGCAAAGAGGGCCAAACACACCGAGGTCAGCCCGGCCTTCAGTAATCGTTCCAAGGAAGATTCTGTACAGCCTCTGCACTCACAGAAGGCCAAGATCATACTAGAAGTAAGGCAAAACCTTGGGCCTTATATGATCTGCGAGCAGCTGCGACAGCTCCGAGAGCCAATGGTTCTTCCAGAACGGGGCTACTAGGAAAACTTGTGTTTGTGTTCCCTGATTCGCCTGATTACCTGAGGGATCATGGCGATCGGGAGAAAAGCATACAGGAGAAGGTTGGGCCAGTCATGGGCCAACGCATGCCTTTCTTTTGAAAAGTAAGTTGGGTATTGAAAGTTGTCTTTCGAGGTGAAGATGTCAACCTCTGCCTGCCCAGAGACCTCCCAAATTTTCTGAACTGTTTGCGGATGGAGAATCAGTTCCTCTGAGGGGACATTGCTCCAAGACAGCATGTCTGCTCCTCAGTTCATTATGCCCGGAACATGCGTTGCTCTCAGTGAATGCAAGTTGAGGTGTGCCCATTCCAAGAGGTGCTCTGCTAGGAAGAAGAGGTGCTTTGAGGTGAGCCCGCCCTGGCAATTTATGTAGTACCTCACTGTCATACTGTCTGAGCAGACTAGAACGTGGTGTCCCTTTGGGTCTGGCTGAAAGGTCCGAAGGCCTCGACACACTGTCAGAATTTCCAGGCAGTTGATGTGTAACTGACCGAGAGTTGGTTTGCCCTCGCACATAGCTCCCCAACCTGTGTTGGACACATCGGTCAAGACAACCTTCCTTCTGTAGACCATATCCAGAACCATACCCACACCCCGTTCCAACCACTGGGGCTTTTCCAAGGGGCCAGATCTGCCATGTAGGCCTGGTCCACCTTGATACGAAGGCGTCCGTGATGCCAAGCATGGGGCGGAACCCTTGGTTTCAGCCAGTACTGTAGGGGCCTCATGTGAAGCAGGCCCAACTGTAGCACCGGAGATGCGGAGGCCATGAGGCCCAGCATCTTCTGAAACATCTGGAGAGGGCAAGAGGCTCCAATTCTGAAGGAGGCCACGAGCTGCTGTATGGCAAGCACACGTTCCGGCGCGACTACCGCCCTTATTTGAACTGAGTTAAAAACTGCTCCCAGGAACAAGATCCGTTCAATGTAGTCATCCTGAATGGCTATTTCATGAAGGTGCAGTTCAAGTGCCTGATATCGAGGATGGGCCGTAGGCCGCCATCCTTTTTTGCGAACGAGGAAGTAATGGCTGTAGAAGCCTGACTTGCTCTGAGCTGGAGGAACTGAGGTGGGAACAACGCCGCTGAATCGCGGGGGTCTTCGAGCTAATTGAAGTGAGTAACCTTGCTTTATTATTCCCAGAACCCAATCTGACACTCCGGGGATGGCCTGCCAGGCCTCGGCCCGTGTGGCAAGGGGTTGGATTGACTTGAGTGGTAGGTCACTGTGAGGGGACCTGACACTCGCAATAAGTGGAAGAGGAGATTTGCTATTTTTTTTAGTATGTTTGTGTTTTTTTTGCCTGCTATCACAGCGGCTTGTTGTATAGGGCCCGATGTTTACAACAAACTAATTTTCATCGGCACCCGGAACTAGACTGGGTACTTGGAGGTATACTCGAGGCTGTTTGAGGGGTGGTCCGGCTGCAGCGAGATTTAGCCCCTTCCT